AATTTATCAATTCCTCTTCACACGATCATTCATCAATTCCTCTTCACACGGAAATTTATCAATGTAATTTGTTAGAAATTAATCGAGGAAGCTAAATTAATGCCTTCCACTCCCGCGTCTAACACCGCGAATCGGATCTAATGTCAACGCGACTACCATTCCCCCTTCCTTTCCCTTTTCCCTTTCCCCCTGCCTCCTCCACCCAGTAATCATTATCGTTTCCTACGCGAGTTCAATATCGGTTCTCATTCGACCGACTATATTGGCAATTTGTTGGCTAATATCGAGCTAACAGCCGGACCGAGGGCAAGAAGTTAATATCCCAGAAGGGATGATTATCCGAACGCGGCGAGAAATGGAAATGGAGAGGAAATTCTGCGGGGGATTCTTTCGATCTGTCAGCCCTGATATTCACTTGCTTGCGAATGAAAAAGAAAAAAAAAAAAAGAAAGAAAAAAAACGGAAAGGAAAGGAATAATTGAAAGGAAATATTTCATTTTTGCTCGGAATAGATGTTTGTATTCTTTGTTCAGAAATTTATTGGCAATTGAAGATTTCGTAGATATCGTAGATTTTTCTTAACTTTTATTATTATTATTATTATGGAATGCGATTTTTAAATTATTTGATATATATATATATATATATATATATATATAATTAGAAAACGAACAAAATAATCTGGTTTCGTGAAATTTTTGTATTCTTTTTTCTATCGTATCGTGGAAAAGAGGGATATCGAAGGATCTCTTTTTCACCAATAAAAATTGTTTTAAAATAAGATAATTAAATTCGAGGGGAATCGAACCGGATTAAATAAAGATCCGTCTTACTTCGAGCAAAGGATTGGGAGATAATTTTTTAAATCACTTAGAGTATTGGTGGATTACGTTATATCTTATTACTTATTTATATAATATATTTTGCAAATTTTCTCGATCAACATCTTACTCTGTAACGTAAACTTGTGCGTAAACTTTAAAAAAGTTAAAGATTTTGTTTCTTCGAAGTACACGAAGGATAATAATGTACAGGTATACATTAACCATGTATGAGGCAAATTCGATGTATTTTTCATACATCGAGCTAAAATATGAATAATCGACTATTTATAGATACGTATCTCGTTCACGTCGATCTTTTTTCGTCATTTTATGGAAGAAAAATTGAATTTACGAAGTATTCCATTCCTCTCATATTGCCGATCATGTTTTCAATATGTACCGTGTATATATATATTGCATTACCATTGGAAGAGAGAGAGGGAGAGAGGTACACGTCCTGTTAACTCCTCACGGTGTTGAGCTTTCGTATTGTTCCCTTTTTTTCCTTTTTTTTTTTTCTTTTTTTTTGTTTCAACGAATATAAAAAGTCAGAATTTTACGCGCAATGAATTTTTCTTTCCTCGTTTGTCACGTTATAAAATATGATTCTCCACAGTATATATGTATATTCATGGTATTATCGACGTTTGTTAATCATGGAATTTTCTCCTTGTTTATTTCCGCGAATTGATTTGATTTCATCCTTTATTGATTTATTATGTTAATAAATGGGGTATATAACGGATAGTGTAACGAAGACGAGCGCGAGAAAAATATAATCGACTTGTTTTTTATTTGTATTTTGATTTTTAATCGAGTTAACCGATGATTAAAAGGGTAATTGTTTCAATTGGGAAGAAAAAAAAATCGTTTTCGAAAATTGACACGACTGAATCTTTTCTCTGTCTCTCTTTCTTTTCTTTTTGTAGAATGGAAAGTAATGGATCACGTTTTTTTTACATTTGTTTCGTGGTTCGTGCCAAAACAATAGAACAATTTCACTTTTGACTGGCTATATCTTAATCACGAATGATTGATGAAGTGTCATCAAGGCGTCCGACTTTTTCCCTCTGAAGATCTCTATTCCGACTACGTATCAAGAACGTAACATCTCTGTGAGAACAAAGCTTATGCTCGCATTATTGTAATTTTTTCGGATCTTTTTTTTTATAATTATTAATAAACGAAAGTTGTTTCATCCTTAAAAAAAAATTTTTGCAATACAAAACAATTTTATAACTAACTTACGAAAAACGATGAACGAATGCTTCGTTAATTTGTGATATTTTTAATAAAAAAAAAAAAAATTACAGCTCTTATCGATCGATCAGATTTTGCATAATTTTATAATATAAATTTGAAAAAAATATCATTATTATTTGAAAATACTTATCATCGATCGAAATCTACTAAAAATACTAATTACGACAAATTCGACATTTTTAAATCACGAACCAACTCTTTCTTTTTGTTTTTTTTTTTTTTTTTTTGTTTAAGGGAAAAAAAAATTTCAAGGTAGCCATTTCCTATTGAAACATTTTCTCTGAAAGAAAGAGCGCTTTTGATCCAACGTGCAGCTTTAGTTTTAAGTTACACCCGAGAACCTATTTAGTTACATAACGTGAACACGTGTGCGCTTTCCAAGGGTCGCATGGCGGGAATAAACCGTAAAAAAGTACGAACGCGTGAAAATTGACCTCGAAGATGGCATCCTGAGAATTATAGAAGGTAAGAGAAATTTCAATGAGACGTTTATAGTACGAGTTGCCATTACTTGCTCCTTTTATATCGTCTTATTAAAAAACCGTCTACTTGTGCTTCTGATCAGGCTGCTCCAATTAAAATTAATTCAAGTTCGAAATAAATCGATTCTCGCGATGAAAGATTGGAAGAAGGAATTATGTACGAAGCGTAAGGATTTTCTCGAGATCGAGAAGTTTTTAATCTATCATTAAAGAGGAAGTCTATTTTTAACGGTGTACGTTAAAAATAAACAAGATCTTTTTTGTATTAAACTAAAATAAGAGTACAATATAGATGCAATCACTTTTAAATTTGTAAATTTACTTTGTACATTCAAAAATGAACGATTAACTTTCAAAAAATCAGAATTATCTGTTTCTAATCAACGAATCTTTGATCATTAATCTATCATTAAAAAAGAAAATGAATGATTAATTTTCAAAAAATCAGAATTATCTGTTTCTAATCAACGAATCTTTGATTATCCCCAATTAATCTATCATTAAAAAAGAAATTTATTTTTAATGATATACTAAAGACAAACAAAATCTTTTTTGCATTAAAGTAAAATAAGAATAAAATACAAATCATTTTTAAATTTACTTTGTATATTTAAAAATGAACTTTCAAAAAATCAGAATTATCTGTTTCTAATCAACAATACTCTTTGAATATCCATCACTATCAATTACTATCACTACCAATTAAACTATCATTAAAAAGGAAATTTATTTTTAATGACATATTAAAACAAATAAGATCATTTGTGCATTAAAGTAAAAAATAAGAATAAAATATATACATAATCACTTTTAAATTTATAAATTTATTTTGTATATCCAAAAATGGATAACTTTCAAAAAATCATAATTATCTGTTTCTAATCAACGAATCTTCGATTATCCATCACCGACCACCATCACCATTTTATAAATCATCCCCTGATACCCATAATTATCACCAAATTTACATATAACTTCTATTTCATTATTAATTCATTATTCTTTAAATTACGAATCGTTATCGATATTTCATTTCCCTAAAATTCTCCCTCTCTCTCTCTCTCTCTCTCACTCCCTCTCTCTCTCTTTTTCATCGTCCATCTCTCAAAGTAAAATATAATTAATAAAGAGACAAAGAGAGAGACAGTCTCAACACCTTCACATTTCCTCGTGGCACGAGTCTCGAATAAACGTTAAGGGCAATTAGGCGAGGCCGCAACGCGAATTAGTCTGTTTAGAGCGGGTGCTCACTCACCTAGGACAATAACTCGGGGCTCGTTAGCGGCGTACGGATGCATCAA